ACAGCTTCAAAGTTTCATCCACAAGGCGCCTTCACACATCCAACCCGCACAAGATCAAATTAAGCCAGAGAAAACAAAAATCAAACTAGATCAGATATCTAATCGAAGGGAAAACAACAGATCCACCCTGTCGAGCCGGAAACAAATCAAACAAGAGCAGATCAACCCACCCAAAAACAAAAAATGACGTGAAAAATTACCCACGGGATGAACTTATTAAGACACGCCGAGATTATTAACTTGTGAGAGGCAGGAAAAGTCACCTCCCCACCCCTATGAAAGGGAGCAGGGAGTAAATCGGAAGCAGAGGAGTGGCTGAGAGAGAGAGAGAGGGAACAGAGGGAACAGAGGAAAAGTTAGAGGCGACTGAACACAGTTTTATATATATAGTGGTTCTTTCCCATTATCTAACATTATGGGCTTGACCTAGTGGGCTCCGTTAAATGCTCAACCATTATTTAGGTATGTTACTTTGAAAATTTAAGTTTGATTAGATCAAGTTGAGTAAAAATTAGACAAGAGGTTGAATTAACCAAAACATACTCTACCAACCTTTTTTATTCGGATCAATAAACTAATATAATGTGAGACATTTTGCTAAGAATAAAAAGGTGTTGATACTTTTCTCTCGTTGTCATAATCGAGATAAAATAAATTTTGATAAAAAACAGGTGTTAATTCTTTTAGGTGATATTAGCATTCTAGCAATCCTATCTATATTATATTAATCTGGATTTAGATCAACATAAAATAAATGCAAATTAACTATTCAAATTAATTTCTTCTCTTACATTAAATATTTATTGTGATACGTAACTAGCTTCCCTACATCTGTAGTCTATATTCTAATCACCGAAACCTCAACTCACTTTACCTCACTAGAGCCAAACTATCTCTTCAATATGAAACTCAAGGCGTTTCTCAGATTACTGGCTTTGTTTCTTCTTTACTCTCACATTCTTTCAGCCACTGCCGTTGAACCAAGTAAGCTCTAAATTAAAGCTAAAACATAAATATTAATATAAAATTTTAATTCGTTCACATTTTTTCATGTCAAATAATTGAGATGTCATCTATATTTATATGTCATTTTGTATGGGCAGCTATTTTTATTAAACTGTCCAGTTATTAGGAGAAAATGAAAATGGGAATGGAAAGAGGAGGGGGGAAGTGGAAATGACAGACTATGCAGGGCTAAGAGCAAATCCCAGGCATGATCCAAAAAATCCTCAAAAGTGTGAAAACGAAGCAAACAACATACATGGATTATAATGATCCAGGATCAAATATTCGCCATGATCCGAGACATCTTTTAGGGGCGGCAACGGTGCAAACAACATACTCGGACTATAATGATCCAGGAACAAGTCCTCGCCATGACCCGAGACATCCTCCAAGTGTGAAAATGATGCAAGCAACATACTTGGACTATAATAATCCCGGAACAAATCCTCGCCATGACCTAACACATTCTCCAAGTGCGTAAATGATGCAATCACCGTACTTGGACTATAACAATCCTGGAGCAAATCCTCGACGTTACCCAAGACACCCTCCAAGTGCAAAAATGATGCAAGCAACATACATTAACTATAATGATCTTGGACCCGAGACATCCTCCTCAAAGTGACTGAATACAAAGTTTAGATGTATGATAATATGATTGAATAAAAGTAATATACTACTTATAAGGAATGCTTTTTTGTTTACATATATACACATGCGCAACACTAGTATAATCCAAGGGCAATGCACATGATGACATAAATATTCTATATGACAAATAAACTTTATACAACTTCCTACTGCATTTAAAAAAGAGAATTCAAAATCAGAAACTAGAATAAATTACAATTCATTTAAAAAAGAGAATTCAATTCATTATAAAAATCATACGTAAATATTCACTTCATAAATATGTTTAATTAAATATAATGATTATCATTTAACCAAGCATAACCAATTGAAATGAATTTATCTAATTTAAATATGAGTTTATCTAACCTCCCTTTTGCTGGGGATGTTAAGATTTGTCCCCATTTATATACAAAAATAAAAATAAAAAATACCCCTATTAGACAGTGCCATCTCATAAATTTTATGTCCATAAATGTAATTTCAGAAACAAAGAAACTCTAACCCACGTTCCTATCTCACTTCAGTGTTGTTTGATAAAATTGAAAATTAAGCACTGAAAATTTTAAGTACTGAATTTTAAGCACTAAATGTATTAATTTCAAAACCTGTTTGATTACATTTTAATTTGAAGTGCTTATTTTATAAAAATTGTTTGTTATATATAACAACTGAAGTCTGAAAGTTATACATATTATATTTTTGCTCTCAATATCTAGTACTCATAACAGTTTTATATTTATAATACAAAAATATTAATAAAACAACCACATTCTCTTAATGAAATAAATAAATATATGGATTTTGTATTACATAATATTTAAAATATATGAGTTTTGGATTGAATAATATTTAGGTAGGGTATAGAAAAGGGTGTTACAAAGATTAAGGAAAATACTTGAAAAATAATTCTTATTTAGGAATAAAATTCTATTTTATAAATATTTGATGGAAAATTTTAATCTATTGATTTTGGATTACATAATATTTATGTAGGTATGGTGTTACAGAAATTAAAGAAAGTAAAATTTAAAATATATGTGCCTTGAATTACATAATATGGAACATAATTCTATTATATATTTTCAGGGCCTCGTGGGATTAGTCGAGGTGCGCGCAAGCTGGCCAGACACCCACGATTAACCAAAAATAAAAATAAAAAATTAATTCTATTATATAAAAAATTAATAAAAATTTAAAGTATATAGGTTTTGGATATCAAAAAGAATGTTATAAAAGATTAAACAAAGTAAAATTTAAAATATATGTATTTTGGATTGCGTGGTAGAGTATTGAAAAGAGTGTTAAGAAAGTATGTGAAAGATAATTCTTCTATGATAATAGAATTCTATTTTATAAATAATTACATAATATTTTTGTAGGGTATAAAAAAGGTGTGGGTATAAAAATAGTGTTAAAAATATTTTTAAAAAGTACGTGAAATTGAATAGAATTATGTTATATAAATAATTATTTTTTAGAGTGAATCAATATAAATGATAACCAAAAGGCTATACCTGTTTAAAAATTAAAATATATTAGATAGAATTATGCTTTTTATTTTTTTGAAATTTGTTACATTTAATTCATTTTCATTAAAAAAATCACAAGAGAAACCTAAAAGAGATAACACAATTATATGAGGATAGAGTAGTCATTAAAAAATTATTTTTTAAACCCAACCACTTACCGTGTTCTGCAATAAGCAACAAGTAAACATTCCCCCTATGTTTAAAATTTTGGCCTCTTTTAAGTAATAATTACCATGTTAAGCGGTGTTCTAAAATTTATCAAATAAACTTATTTTTAAAAATCACTTATTGTGTTTTGCATTCAGCTGAATTAGGAAATCAAACAAGTCTCGCTCATACATTCCCACAACTATAAATTCTTTCTCAGACTTTGACACCTCTGTCATGAAGCCGCTGGTTGGCAAAGTCGCCAAAAATTACCGATCAGACTCTTGCAGGTCATTGGAATTGTCCAACCAGTTTTAATCTTGCACAGTCTCTCAACTACCGAATATTTGGATTTTCGGTGGATTTTGGTGGTGTGTGGGTTAGGATGTTGTTTATGGTGGTGGAGGCGGCATTGGTTGTGGCGGCGGCGGCTGGTTGGATGTTCATTTCATTGGATGCATTTGAATTTACATTCTCCTTCGAATCAAAAGAAAACATGGGATATTAATTTAGAAAATGGTCTCTCATTATATTTATAAGAAAATAAGGATGAGTTAATATGAGACACTATGCATTTTCTTAATTTAAAGATATAGAGATAACTATAAACATACAATACAAGTGTTTATTTTCACACGACTGTTGTGAATCCTCCAAATAGTTGTCTTGAGCGAGATGAACTCAATAAGAATGTTTGGAATAGTATAGTAGACAACTTCATTGTATTTAAAATTTAAAATATTATTTAATTTATAATTTTAAAATATATATATTAACAATGAAAATTTTATATAGATACAGATATACATATGGATCGACATTATGGGCTGGCCCATTTAACAAAGTCCGGTGTGTCGGGAATGAAAACAGGATCAACCCCTTTGTTAAATGGACAGCCGGGCTTTAACATATAGATGTTGGTCTTGATTTTGAAGATTTTTTAAAGTAGTTAATGGACCAATACATTCCTTTGATCCTATTAGGAGGAACTATATTTCAAACTCTGCTATTTTAATTGCAGTGTTATATATTATATATATATATATATATTTTAAGATTAATAAGTGTTCTATAGATAAACACACTTTTACATTTTTTTTGTTTTCTGTAATTAGCCAAACATACGTCGTTGTAAGCAATTCTCAAAACATAATCGTAGACTGTAGTTCAGTGGTTAGAAAATGAGAAAATGAGAAAATGAGGAGGACTCCTATTTTTGTATTGGCGAAGTATCAGAAATTCAGAATCTAAAAACATAAAACAAAGGATAAAGAAAAAGAAAGAAAAAAGAAAAAATAAGGCAAAAATAATTAATATGTGGGACCACAGACGCAATGCAAAGCGGATGAGGAGGCAAAGGACAATGAATTGAAGGCGGCTTAAAAAGCGAAGGCGCACCAAAAGTAAGTTGGACCCCACCACCGCGTTCTCTTCTCCTATTCCAGGTACAGGGTTACTTTTTCTCATTTGCAGGTGGGTCCACCTTTGGCTTTTTCTGTCGTCTGACCTCATCCTCCATCCCCCTCCACCAAAACTCATGGCTGTGATTCACCGCTTCGCTGCTACAACGCCACCTGTCACCACATTAAAGTCACAATAACTTCAAAATACTGTAATATAGTATTTAATTTGAAAAAATGAAACTCATTTTTTATTTTGTTTTTATTTTGTTCTTTATATCTAATATATCATCCTTCACGTCCTTTGTGCCTTTCTCGACTCTCTTTTCTGAAGGTTTTTTGGTTCTTTTATTATTATCCTCCCTAAAAGACCCAGAGAGTGAGGGTTTTTGTGTGTTTTAAAAGTTCTGTGTCTCGATATAGGCACTTATATATATATATATATATATATATATAGATTTTAGAAGAACACATCAGTAAGAGGGAAATGCCTGAACCCAAGGAGGCAATCAAGCTATTTGGGGAGACGATTCCATTACCGGAAAGACAGGTTACGGCATGTACACAAGAGAGGTTCGATGTTGGTCGTCAGATTCCGATGATGTCCAAGGTTGCGGTCCTTCTCTCCCTCTCTGTATACTTGCTTTGATAAGTTATTTTCTCTTGAAATGGAAAACCCAACTCATCTTAATGATGGTTAATAAACTTTAACGTTCCGTTTGGTTGCTGAGAAACAATGGGAACATGAAAGTGAATGAATACTTGGACTCTTGGACCTTCCGGGTCCCGGAATCTCATGTTTTTGTCATTTTCCTATGTTTTCTGGGCAACCAAACGTTATTTCGCTGGCAAATATGGCCGCTCAAGAAGTGATGTGCTTTTCCGTTACCTTTATGAAAGTAATGGCCTCGTGTAGTTATCTGAAAATTAATTCCAAATATTGTATACCATTGGAAAGAGTTGCAGGTCTCCTATTTTTCAATCCACATTTTGCCTTGTTCAATTTTATTATTCATCTAATGTTTTTCTTCCTATTTTCATGTTGCAAAGCAGAGTTATGTTACTCTTATACTTTGTTTCTTAATAAATTTGCAATGATATATATATTTGATTGTTTGAAACCCTAGAAAACTAAAGCCTCCACTCAAATGCTTGTTACTAATTTAGCACTTTGATTTTGTTCAGTTTAACTATCAATTTTTAGCAAACAATAACATAATATTCCGAATTTCCTTTTCATTTTTATTTTCTTCAGTTCATCCATGAAATCTATCACAGAGTTCAATGAAATCGAATTCTTGTGCATTAATTCTGTAACTTTTTCTTTGTAAAATTAACTCTTAACTCGAGAAAGTGACATATCAACATAGAGCGATTATCTTCTATTTTAATTCATCCGTGACCATTAAAGTCAAAATTAGATTATGTTTTATTCTTGAAAAATCTTATAGAGGCTGCTTATCAAGTGGCTGTTGGTTTAACATGGGAAGATTTAATTTTCATTTCTATTTTCCCACCTTCTGCACAATTTTCTTGTTATATATTGCTATGTTATTGATTCACCATAACAAAATTCTATATATATAGGTAGTGCAAGCTTAAGTACTGGTAAATTCTTTGATGCTCAATACTGTGTCAATACTGTAGATTGAGGAATTATCACTTTCCTTTCAGGATGTTTGTAGTAAAGTAACAAAAACAAAAGCTGATGATGGTCATTTGGAAGAGTCTAAAAAGCCGGATAAGTTTTCCGTCACAATGGATGGTAAGGAGGAGGACCATAAAATGTATAGGGACAAGAATGAGGTGCAAGCAAGTCCTAGGCCGAAGGAGGACCAGCCTGAGACCAGTAGTACAGACCAAGAGAAGGTTATGAAGAAGCCAGATAAGATCCTTCCGTGTCCCCGATGCAACAGTTTAGAGACTAAATTCTGCTACTTCAATAACTACAATGTCAACCAACCCAGGCATTTCTGCAAGGGCTGCCAACGATATTGGACTGCTGGTGGAACAATGAGAAATGTTCCTGTGGGTGCTGGCCGGCGAAAGAACAAGCACTTAACTTCTCAATACCACCAGATATTTGTGCCCCCAAATGGTGTGCCAGTCACCAGGATCGATGTTCCTGACTCAACCAATCAACCAATTCTCTTGTGTGGTGATTCTTCTACCTCTTCCATGCCTTCAACAGGGAATGGGACAATGATAAAGTTTGGTCCTGAAGGACCTCTGTGTGAATCCATGGCTACTGTACTTCATCTCAGAGACCAGAAGAGATGTCCTGAAATGGCTTCAGTCAGAGAAAATAAAGAGGAACAACCATCCTCATGTAGCTCTTCCATGGAAGCTTCTGGTGTCCATGAAAGTAAATTACCTGAAATTGTTATGCGAAAAGAAGTGGGCAGTTTGAATGTATCCTGTGATGACATTGCTCAGCCACATCCTCTGCAATGTTACCCTGTTCCTCCTCTGGTCTTCAGTTGGAATCCATGTTGGAATAATGCAGCTTCCACAATGGCAGCTCCGCGCTCTTCTGAGATGGTCTCTATACCGAATGGCATTAACCCTAATCCGACTCCTCAGTGCTCCACGCCAATGCTGGCAGCTCCTGGCATTTGCACACAAAGCATTCCTTTACAGTTTGTGCCTGCACCATATTGGAGTTGCATTCCTGTTTGGGCTCCCGGAACAAGGAATATGCCATTCACAGAATTTAATGGTGGCTTATCTCCATCATCTTCCGCTAGCAGTGGTTGTTCAGGCAACAACTCACCAACTTTAGGCAAGCATTCTAGAGATGCAAATTTGGTGGATGAGGAGAAATCAGATAGGCGTCTTTTGGTTCCGAAGACATTGAGAATCGACCGGTCAAATGAGGCTTCTAAGAGTTCTATCTGGGCCACCATGGGTTTTAAGTCACCACAACAGGAAGAAACGGAATTAAGATTTGGTATCTCGAAACTTTATAAAGTAGTGCAGAAGGAAAGGGACTTTCATCAGATTCCATTAGAAGCCAATCCTGCTGCTCTTTCTCGCTCTCAAACATTCCAAGAGAGAATATAAAAGGAAATCTAATGTGACATTTTTGCTTGAAGAACTCAATGCATCTATAATCTTGTCATTGCATATTTGCTTGGCATTACTTTGTCAGTTCAACTTCCCGGTGCTTGTTCTGCAATGAAATCAATGGGAATGCTCTGCTTTGCGGAATGGAAATAAAGAAAGGTTTCAGCTCTTGGTAATTTGAAAGCTGCGTCAGACAATTTGCAGGGTTCTTGATACACCTATTTCAGAGTAACCATCAAGACTGTGAATAACAAGGAATAGAGGGTGAGTGAGTGATTTATTGTCCATGGCCTAATTTTTTGTTCAGATTGTAGCAAGCTCATATGTGCATCTGTGATTCGGAAACTACACATCTCTTTTACATTTCGTATGAATTTCAAATTACATCATAAATTTCAACTGCTGACCGCGCTCTCTGATTATTATTATTATTATTTTCTTTGTCATGCTTGATGCTTGTTTGCTATATTTCTATCTTGAACATATTTGTTTATATAGAATTTTTTTTTAATTACAAAGCTTTTAGTAACAAATACTAGAGGTGAAGAAGAAAGAAACAGTGCAATTACATGAAATTTAGTAAAGGGAAAGAAATAATAATAATAATAATAATAATACTCCCAGTACTGAATAATGTTTGGATGTGTGTGCATTGATGTTGACAACTCTTATAGGTATTGGGTACCCGGTGTCGATAATATAGTATCGGGTTGTTACAAGGTAGATTTGTTTCATATCGGATTCAAATGAGAGTGTGATTGGATATAAATGGGTAGGTATGCAGTTACCCAACAATTTCAGCTTTTGGATAAATAAACAAACGTTCACTCATTACAGTTGATATCAGAATCGGACCCGATTCTTAATTCGGTGTCACGTCAAGCGCCCGATCCGAAAGATGTCCGGGCGAATTATCCGGGTAGGCATGATGGCCCGACCACAATTAGGGCATTGCGAGTTGTGATGGGGTCGGATTTGAATGAGAGAGTGATTAGGTATAAATGAATGTGTATACAGAATTACTAAATAACTTAATTTTTTTAGTAAATAGACAAGCTTTACCCGTTACAACAGTCAATAATAAATTAAGATTTTTATTTTTATTTTTTTCGGAAGGTAAATAAATTAAGATTTCCCGAACTGTATTGTCATGACAATTCCTAGTTGTATGATTGTATCGGGCACAATTGGCTGGAGATATTTATAAAGTATCAAATTTTGAAAATTACTGTTTGTTGACTTTGGCATACTTTTTCCAAAGCCAAATGGATCAACAGTGATTGCAAATTTACCGTTGCTTTTGCACTCTTTTATACTAGTAAAGCCTATGTTGAAGTTTTGTTTCCTTTTCCTTCTTTTGCCTGGAAAAGGTCAGTTGTTGATAAGGCAAGAATAATTGTTCACTTCCAGAGGAATATAATCCCTTTATGACTCATCACCTTCAAAAGAACGGCTTGGGGAGTCTTTTGGATAAAACCCTTTAAAAAGCTAATATTATCATGATTAAAAGACCAAAAGGCATGCTCAATCCTTGCTTTTGAAGCCTTTGAAAAAGTAAATTATCAAACCACACCATAACTCCTTTCTACGCCCTTTTTGGAATATAATAGAACATTTTAAAAAACACAGAGAGATCAGGGCTTTTTGACTGTCCCAATTCAAGTAAGGATTCTGGGCAAATTACATTAGCTACCCTTAGATTTTTTAACATGTAAGTATGTTCCAGAGATTATGTACACATTGAAGCACATTTAAAAAAAAAAAAAAAATTAATAAATTTTAAAAAAAAAATGAAAAAGAAAAAGAAGGGTGTTGGAATGCTTTTGGTGAAACCAAAATTGTTGTTGAGAGCTGGCTCAAGGCCTGATCAAAATGAATCATAAATCGGCCCAAGGGCCAGCCCACGCCACAAATAGGTTATTGGTTATAGGTTATGGTTGGGCGTGCAATGTACATAACCCATCTGGTGGTATGGACGCAGATGCTACAACTTTTTTAACGTGACACACATAGCCCATCTCGTGTTATTGGTATGCTGCTTCATGTGCAGTGGCCGACATAAGTTGAATCCAACAAAGGAGATATTATTACAAGTACCATGCAGTACGAACCAATGTTTTGGTATGCCAAATTATTATATAGTCTGAAATTATTGGTGCCAGTCAATCACTAGTGACACCTAAATAAATTATAAACTTTATTTAATTGTTTATAAGTTTAACTAGTAATTAGCTGAGACTATTAGTACCAGAATCATGTGATAACTAATAATTAGTTGAGACCATTGGTACTTGGACCATGTGATAATTATAACACAATTTTTCGCTCAAGAGAACTTGAGGTCGTGTTGAGGGTTATTTAGTTCCATGCAGTGTTGCTTCATTTCAGTCTTGGTTTAAAGTTTGTACCAATTTTATCATATCCCTCAAAACAAAAACTAGTTTCAACTTTAAAAAAAAAAAAAAACAAAAACTTTCAACCAATAAATGCATGACTTTGTCTTTGCACAACAAAAATAAAGAATAAAAAATATATTGTCAGTACATAATAATTACTCATTTGTCTTTGTCCATGGGAAACACGGAGAACAAGTTTGTTTGACGCCACCCATACCTTTTTGCCCTTTTGGTCCTTGCCTTGAACGTGCAAGCCTGTTGCCAGCTAATAAATTAGTATTTGATACAGACCCAAACCATAAATAAATAAACACAGTAAATAAATTCAATGTTTGAGTGACTTTTGATGCATGAAGTGACCACCCACAATGAACCTCCCCTTATCGCATCCAAAGAATCAAACGCCCCTTGATTTCAGCGCATCAATTTAGTTGGCGCCACCACTCCTTTTTTTTGTGAGAATATTTTGTAGGGCATAATATTTCACAAGAATTGGAGAAAATAATACTACCATATCAATGATTAATATATATTGTTAGGAATTCATCCATCCAAGATTGTACAAAAAAAAAAAAAAAAAAAAAAAAAATCCATATATGAGAAAATTCAATTAAAAGTGTTGGTAATTAAGGAAGGAAAGGAGTATGTATTGTGGTAGATTCCGTCATCAACATTATAACTGTGATCTATGATTGTATTAGTGGCAGCCACTAGTTTATGGATTATCTTATCGGTTTGTTTTAAAATTAAGATTTGATGGATCTGCAACCATTTTTAGGGGTTGGCATGGAAGGAAATGTGTTTTATGCTTGATTTCATCATCAACATTAGAGTGAAGTATCATTTGGCAACCACAACTTTTTGGGTTATTATACTATTATTACACAACCCTCCATTTATCAATTTGGTACGAAATATTTCATCTGCATCCATTTTAATTTATTGCAATATCTTTACAAATACGTTTGGAATTTGGGAATTTGGAATTAAAAAAAATTACCTACAAAATATTTTTTTAAGAGACATAGTTAGGAATATTGCTTTTGCCTCTATTTAGACTTGAATCGTCCGTTTATTTTAAAATGTGAGAAAGCATTAGCCAACGAGATTATAAAATATATTTGTAAGAGCATGTCTACAAATTCACCCCTCCTTTTTATTTTTATTTTTATTTTTTTGGTAAGTAATTCCCCCCTCCTGGGATGTCTATAAAATGATGTGAGAATGAAAAAAATAGAGAAGAACTAAGGTTTTTTTTTTTTGGTAAGTAAAGAAGAAGAACTGTTTGCATTCATAACAAATATTCTTTTTCTTCTCTTGCGTTCATAAAATATAATATGTAAATATATATGTGTATGAATAAAGTTAATTTGCAGCAAAATTTTGGATAATAATTAACTCTTTGCTTAGTATTTGTTGGAATTTAAAGGGCTACAAGTAATTTCCTTTGGAAACAACCAACTGTAATAACCATAAATATGTGACATAGGATTTCTTTAAAAAAAAATAACCGATCATTATTAACCAGGTACCATAAATAGGATTTTGAAAAAAGAAATTGGTGGGAGAGGCGGCTCTCCCTCTATATATATATATATATGTAACAGTGTATGTATGGAGATATATATATATATATATCCACAACCTTGATTAGTTTTCCACATTAGTAGCAATAAAAAAAAATTGTAGAAGAAAAGGAAATCAAATACATGATGAAGATTTCATTCTTGTTCTTTTTCTGCATTTTTCCCCTTGTCCTGTCCGACCTTCAAGTTGGTTTCTACAGCTCCACATGCCCGCGTGCTGAATTAATTGTTCGTCAAGTGGTTCAAAACCGATTCAAGACTGATCCTTCCATAACTGCAGCCTTGCTTCGCATGCATTTCCATGATTGTTTCGTTAGAGTAAGATTTTCGTATATATTATTACGTACATAACATAGTCACAAGTTAAGAAGCACGAACATTTCTAACAAGAACAACATTAACACTCCAATCAAAAAATATTTCCAAGTATCATTCATCATTGATTGTTTTGTGTGGCACATTGTATAGGGTTGTGATGCGTCCATACTTGTAGACTCTAACTCAACTAAGAGCAAGTCATCGGAGAAAGATGCTGGACCAAACCAGACCGTACGAGGATTTGAGCTCATTGATGAGGCCAAGAAAACCCTAGAGGCTGCGTGCCCTACAACTGTTTCTTGCGCAGATATTGTAACATTGGCAACCCGAGATGCAGTGGCTCTAGCCGGAGGCTCCAACTACAGTGTACCGACTGGGAGGCGTGACGGACTAGTCTCTGACCCAACTGAAGTGAACGTGCCCGGACCAACAGACTCTGTATCCGATGCACTGGAATCTTTCACTGCCAAAGGACTAACTCTAAATGATATGGTCACCCTTTTGGGTGCACACACAGTTGGTGTTGCACACTGTTTTTTCTTTCAGGACAGGCTGTCCAATTTTCAGGGGACCGGAAAACCTGATCCTTCAATGGATCCTACTTTGGTTACCAAGCTCAGCAAGACCTGTGGAACCAAATCAAGGAATAAGAACCCAACTGTATTTTTGGACCAAAATACATCTTTCGTGATTGATAACGAATTTTATAAACAAATCATGTTGAAGAGAGGAATAATGCAGATTGATCAAGAACTTAGTTTGGATAAATTAAGTGCACCTATTGTTTCGAATTTCGCATCAAATGGGATTGGATTTCAACAGAGCTTTGCAAATGCAATGGTGAAGATGGGGAGCATTGAAGTTCTTGTGGGAAATGCCGGAGAAGTAAGGAAAAATTGTAGAGTTTTCAATTAAGAAAACCAGGGAAAATTGCAAATGCACCTTCTTAATTTTGGTTTACTTTTGTGTGTGCGTGTGAGAGAGTTTGTGCAACTTTTAATTAACGAGTTTTTTTGTTTTCCGCTTCATTTGTTTGTTATTGTGCTTTCCGTAGGAAAAAAGAATGTGAAAAAAAATCATGCATGCACCTAGTATTTGTTCAAATTAACACTAATATTACCTTTCGTTTTGCATGCCACCAAATTCATGTGATTTTCCATAAACCTAGCCTACCTAAGCTATATCTCTTTTCATTGCTATCAACACGGGTGTGCTTTTCTTTCACGGGTTTAATAAGAGAGCAAATCATGTAGTAGTTGTTTTGTTACTATGGAAAACTATAATAGAGAGAAAATAAAATATTAGGGAAAAATAAAGTAGAATTTTTATTTTACATATCGTTTTGCCTTTTCTTTTTCCCATTGTTTAGAGACTTGCATCTAAGCATTAAAGAAATGTGAAATTTTTTTTTTTTCTTTTCTATTACCACATTCATCCCCTGGACAAATTCTGTGATTCTTCCTATTATAGGTCAAATTATTTCATTCGTTTGCGCATTTTGTTTCTCCCTAGTCAAAACTTACTAAAAAGGAATTTAGACAATGTAAAGAATCAAAATTTTTATTTAAATTATTATTATTATTATTATTATTTTTAGGTAAGTCAATTTATTCAAAAAGAAAGAACCAAACAATACAAGGCAACCCAAAACAGGAAGCCAAAAAAAGAAGGCAACACAAGGCACAAGGCCCAAACAAGAAGCCCGAAGGCACCACACAACCTCTACACAAGAGATACAGAGGGAGCAAGCGCACACAGCATTACAGAGAGCAAGGCTCAGTCAATACTAGTGTTGTTGTCAATGATAGTACTAGGAAGTCTCCAATCAGCAGCCACACTATGGGAGCTCCTAGAGTCCTTGAATCTCATAGAAAGAAGCCTGTTACGAATACAGTCTTCAATGAGCTTCCAAACCGCACGAGGGGAAGAGAATCTACCAGGTACGTTTATTCCTCTCCTTCCATATGAAATAGATAGAAGCAGCAAAACAAAGCCCAGCTGTAATGGCATCCATAAAATTGCACTTATCATTCCACACATTACCAATCCATTTGGCAATGAAGAAGTGTCTACGCTCACCACAGTAGAAACCACATGTATGCTGAACATGATCCCAAATGTATGAAGAGAAACAAATGTATGCTGAACATTTAAAAAACAAATGCTCGTGGGTTTCATCCTCTCTCATACACAATGGACAAAGGATAGAGTCCCGTCTGTGACCTATGAAAAATCTGTCTTTGGTATAGAGTCTATTGTGAAGAGCATGCCAAGTAACACAGGCGTGCAAGGAGGAAGGAGTGCATTGTAGGCATGTTTCAAACTGAACTTACCATAGGAGACAAAGTCTAGCACACCTTATCTCTACAATTGGAATTGATAACTGGATATTCCTCATTCACGCTGACAATTGCAAATTCTTTGGATTATATATATTAGACGTGACCGCTTTGCCCTCTCTGCAGAAAGTCTTTGCGTGTGACGCAGGCAAAACGCTTCTATAATTCCACATAAAGTCTTTTGCGTGTTGTCCCACCAAAACCAACGAACACTTCATTAAATTATTCCTCTCTTTAAACTCTATTTTGACTCTGTTTCACAGGGCTTTTTGTACTCGTATTTCAAATTAGGCACAGTGCTCTAAAAAATACTCTCTCTCATGTACTAACTAATGCAAAATGACCAATTAAAATGTTCAAATTTTGTTATCACACAAACTTAACTAATCTTTTCATAACAAATACATTTTATTTTTTTTTTAATGTAAGGGCACGACTCGAGGATATGAGCTCCTAATAATCTTCTTTCAGTATTCGAGGGTGTTTTTATAACAAATACCTATTGTTCAGTAAAAGGGAAAATAAGAGGGGAGAAAAAACATAGAAAATAATACTTTTCTATATTTTGTTGAAAAATGAATAATAAACTACTTAAATGTTCATTTAGAGCCCTCAAATTTTACTTATATACAATAAAATTTTAAACTTATTTTTATTATTATTATTTTTTCCACACCCCTTCAAAGAATTGTTAGTGCCTACCAGGATTCTATCCTGATTATTTATTATATTTATAAGTAGGTGGTTTTATTGAACAATTGGATTTGTTGGGTGCCAATAATTAAAATCACAATGGTGTTTTTGTATCCATTTTCAATTTTGTGTATGAAGTTCATTCTAAAAATGATGTATTTTTATTTTTTTAAGGGTGGGGGGTGAAGGGATGTATGAGACATGCTATTATTTTAGTGGGTATTTGAATTATCATTTGCTTAGGCTAGAGAATTAAACACCACCACAGCCCGTGCGAGTGACTCAATAGATAAGTGATTTTTTGGGACAAATTGTAAACTCTAATGTGTTAATTTCAACTCTAACAGAGTGCAAAATATCTGAACTTGAACGATGCACGTTATTTGCAGATGATTACGCGTATTTAAATAATTAAAAAATTCATAATAAATAGATAAATACATGTTATATGTGATAGAGCTTTAATGAAAATAAATTAGTTAATTTGTGTTAATTTTAGGTAATTCGTGTTAGTGTTTTATAGAAACACTTTTAATATATCTCTGTCTAATGTGATGGTGTTTGTGGTATAATTTTATAAAAATTATTTATTTTCTTTAAGTATATATATCCTTGTCTAATTAGATTATCTTTTACTAAAAAACTAATAATAAAAGGTAATTTGTGTTTCAGTTTTAGAAAAATTATTTTATTTTTCATATCAATTAATAAATATTTTTTATATTCATAATTCTTGTCTAATTATATTTTCTTTTATTAAAAATTCATAATAAATAAATAAATAGCTAATTGTGTTAGAGTTTTTATATAGAAACTCTTTTAAATCTTCTTTTTAAATCAATTAATAAATATTTTTTTATGTTAATAATTCTTGTCTAATTAGATTTTCTATATTAAAAAACGCATAATAAATAGATAAATAGGTAAATTGTGTTATATTTTTATAGAAACTCTTTTAAGACCTCTTTTTTATATCAATTAATAAATATATTTTTATATTAATAATAGTGTATAATTAGATTTCCTTTTATTAAAAAAAATTATAATAAATAGATAAATAGGTAATTTGTGTTAGAGTAACTCTTTAAATATATCTTTGTCTAATTTGATTGAGTTTTATTGAAAAAAAAATAGGTAATTTGTGATAGAGTTTTATAAAAATTATTTTATGTTCTTTAAATATATCCTTATCTAATTAGATTTCCTTTTATTAAAAAATCATAATAAAAGGTAATTTGTAATAGAATTTTAGAAAAATTATTTTATTTTATATATCAATTAATAAATATTTTTTATAATAATAATTCTTGTCTAATTAGATTTTCTTTTATTAAAAAAAATCAAAATAATAAATAGATAAATAGGTAATTTATGTTAGAATTTTATAGAAACTCTTTAAATATATCTTTGTCTAATATGATTGAGTTTTATCGGAAAAAAAAAATGGTTAATTTTTTATAGATTTTTATCGAAATTATTTTATTTTCTTTAAATATATCCTTATTTAATTAGATTTCCTTTTATTAAAAAATCATAATAAAAGGTAATTTTGATAAAATTTTAGAAAAAATATTTTATTTTATATATCAATTAATAAATATTTTTTATATTAATAATTCTTGTCTAGTCTAATTAGATTTTATAATAAATAAATAAATAGGTAATTTGTGGTTGAATTTAATAAAAATCTTTTTATATCAATTAATAAATATTTCTTATATTAATATTTCTTGTCTAATTAGATTTCCTTTTATTAAAAAACTCATAATAAATAGATAAATAGGTAATTTGTGTTAGAGTTTTGTAGAAACTATTTTAAAACCTCTCTTTAGATCAATTAATAAATAATTTTTTATATTAATAATACTTGTCTAATTAGATTTTCTATTATTAAAAAACTCTTAAAAAATATATAAATAGGTAATTTGTGTTACAATTTTATAAAACTCTTTAAATATTATATCTTTGCAGACTGTGATAGAGTTTTATTGAAAATAAAATATGTAATTTGTGATTGAGTTTTATACAAATTATTTTATTTTCTTTAAATATATCTTTGTCAAATTAGATTTTACTTTATTAAGAAACTCATAATAAACGTTAATTTCTGGTAGAGTTTTAGGAAAATTATTTTATTTTATATATCAATTAATAAATATTTTTTATATCAATAATTCTTGTCTAGTTAGATTTTCTTTTATTAAAAAATTCATATTAATAAATAGATAAATGGTTAATTTTCATTTTATTAGATAGATTTTAGAGTTTGATAGAGATTTTTTTATTTTTTATTTTTATAATTTTTATAAAAGCTCTTTACATATCAATTAATAAATATTTTTTTTTTATACAAATAGATACATAAATACGGAAACCCTTTTCACATTTAATAATAGTATCGGAAAAACTCTTTTTATATCAATTAATAAATAAATTTTTATATAAATAAATAAATAATAAAAAACTTTGGCAGAGCATCTGTATTTTACTCTGAAAATTAAATTTTCTTTTATTAAAAAATTCATAATAATAAATAGATATTTTTTATAAAAGCTCTTTACATATCAATTAATAAATATATTTTTTTATATATAAATAGATACATAAATACGGAAACTCTTTGCACATTTAATAATAGTATAGGAAAAACTCTTTTTATATCAATTAATAAATAAATTTTTATATAAATAAATAAATAATAAAATACTTTGGCAGAGCATCTGTATTTTACTCCGAAAATTAAATTTTCTTTTATTAAAAAATTCATAATAATAAATAGATAAATAGGTTAATTTGAATTTTATTAGGTAGATTTTTGAGTTTAATAGAGTTTTTTTTTTTATAAAATTTTTTTTCATATCATTTAATAAATTTTTTTTATAT